GAGCGGTTCGCCTTCTCGGGAGCTGCACGAAATCCGCGTGTCCCACACGTAGAGGGGCTGGCTGTTACAGACGGCGCTGACCACGGCATATGGTCACGTTCTCCTAGTGAAGGAGGAGTTTAGGGTGGCTGAGGAGTTGGTGGCAAGAAATTTATCTGAATTAGGTCCCCCAAAGGAGTGCAGTGTGTTCACAAAATGCAGGGGCACGAGCAGATTAGGAAAAAAAAAAAACAAAAACCTGTCCCTACTCTTAACCGTCATAGCCAGGAGACTCGTAGAGTTACAACCTCTGCCTGAGCCTCAGTCCACTGATCTGTTTGACATAAAAAAAAAAACAAAAAAAAAAAAAACCTGTCCCTACTCTTAACCATCATAGCCAGGAGACTCGTAGAGTTACAGCCCCTGCCTGAGCCCACTGATCTGTTTGACTTGGGGTTAAAAATTCAGAGTTTTGCATGGTGTGTTTCTGCGTTAGCTCTTGTTGGGAAATGGTCTTGCGCTGGAGCGTTGTTTGTCGCTGAAGCAGGTCTGCGCTGTTTGCTCTGTGTACCAGGGCTTCTCTTCTGTGGAATGTGATGAGGATGCTTTTCTTGTTTGATTTTTTTTTTTCCCAGCCACAGTCTCTCATTGATGAATTGCTGTTATATAAGCGCTCGGAAGACCAGATAGAACTGAAAGAGAAGCAGCTTTCCACTATGAGAGTGGATGTGTGCAGCACTGAAACGCTGAAATGCTTAAAAGGTAAAGAGAGCGTGTAACGTACAAAACCTGCTGTAGCTGAAGGAGGTGAAAATACGTGTCCTAACAGTTGTAGGAGCTACTGGGTTCTGTTGAGCCTTAGACCAGAAATCAGACTGTGTCTGTAAAATGCCAGAATTTCAAAGTGCAGCCAAGAACCGCCAAGCAGGAGCCTAAAACCTTTGTTAATTTGAACCTGTTCATAGAAACCCACAGGTACAGAGCTCAAAGCAAGCAGAAGTGCTGGAGATATATTTTGTCGTGGAATCATAGAACAGTTTGGGTTGGAAGGGACCATGGAGGTCATCTAGTCCAACCCCCCTGCGGCAAGCAGGGACATCTTCCACTGGACAGGTTGTCCGGAGCCCCATCCAAATTGACCTTGAACTATTTTTATACTATTATATTATTTTTATATGTATAGGCACTAAAATTGTTTATTAAAATTATATAAATATATCATCTATGTATTTATATTATTTTATATTTTATATTTGATATATATTTTGTAGTATTCAAACATGCCCTCGTTTATCATTAAAACGTGCATTGTTCTTCATGTGTTTAGAGCTCTGTAATTCATTTTTGATTTAGTATTTTAAGTTAATTAAGGCATCTATCAAAGGCTACAGTTTGAGAGTGCCAGCTGTGAGTTGGATAGTAAGCAGAGCACACTGGGGGTAAGTTGAATCATGTTGAGCCATATTAACAGGAAATTTAATTGTAAAACTGCAGATAGCTTGAGCTGTGCTTTGGTAATCTGTGACTTCCCCCATGATGTTAGGAACCCTTGGAATATGGTCACAAGATTTTTAACTCTTCCAAAATGAAAGTATGCTCTCCGGATAGTTGACAGAGTAAAATATTGCACTTGTGTGTCTTGAACTTATTTCTCATGAATAATTATTTGAAAACCAATATCGACTGCTAGCAACTCGGCCTCTGTTTTTAATGGATGCCGATGGATGAGCGGGGTGCTCTAGGGAGCATACAACATGATGCATGATGTCTGTTGTTTGAACTTTCCCGTTGCTGCTGTTGAGGATGCGCTTCTGAGAGCTGATTTTCTGTTTGGTGGATGGCAGCTTATTTGCATGGTGTAATCTCTTCACAGACAAAACGGGAGGAAAGAAGTTCTCCAAGGAGTTTGAAGAAGCAAGTTCAAAGCTGGAAGAGTTTGTAAATGGCTTAGACAAGCAAGTGAAGAATGGCCCCTCGCTCACGGAAGCCCTGGAGAACGCTGGGATATTTTATGAAGCACAGTATAAGGAAGTCAAGGTGGTAGCAAACGTAAGGCGCTTTTCCTCCATCCTCCTCACGCAGGCTGACATCTGCTCGAGTTCATCTCGGAGGCTAGAAAATGCATTCTCTCTCTATTCACAAATGAAGAAGTTTGGGGTGATTGTTGTACGAACGGTTTCGAAAGAGAGCAGAGTTGAGGTGTCGGACAAGAAAAGGAGATGCTACAAAAAACAATCCATGGGTTCGAAGCTCAATTCTTCTGTGTTGCTGGAATTTTGTAGCCCCTCAGGATTTTTAAACTGGGGCAAAATTACAGTTAGTCTAACAAATCCTAAGTTCTAGAAACTGCACAAGTTGTGATCAATATGCAACCTAGATGAACAGATAAAGAATTCGGTAAAGCGTTGTAAAAACAACCAACTCTACCAAAAAAAAAACCCAAAGAGGCAGAAAATGTTGAATTTTTTGAATGAAAATTGTTTTAAGTCACTGCAAAAAGGTTTTACCTTCCCCTTATTTTGTGGTTGTTGCTCTGCAATTCACACTCAAAAGCTGAGTTCTTCCTGCAGAGTTCTCGCTGCAGGGTACGGGTAATTGGAAGTGGGTTTCTAAGGCTGTGTGCTGCTTCGTTACGGAAGTGATTGAGGCATGCCCTCTTCCTAAAAAAGACACTCAGTCTGATATCCTTTCTTTCTTAGGCTTATAAAACATTTGCTAATCGAGTGAGCAATCTAAAGAAAAAGCTGGACCAGTTGAAAGCAACGCTTCCTGATCCGGAGGAGTCTCCTGTCCCTTCTCCAAGCATGGACGCCCCATCTCCGACAGGCTCAGAGTCCCCTTTCCAGGGCATGGGGGAGGAGGATAACTCTCGCTCTCCAGTGGGTGGAAGCCGCAAGACAGTATCTCCAGAGCTTGTGACGGATAATCGGGATGTGGAAGACATGGAGCTCTCTGATGTGGAGGATGATACGTCTAAAATTATTGGTATGTTCTGCGGGAGCAGCAGAGTAGTTGTCGTGTAGAAATTACAGGGAGACAAAACAGCCCTTTCGAGCCTCATGTGGGATGTAGAGGATGCGCAAAAGCCCTCGGTAGGTTGTGGGTTGGTGCTGTTGGGTTTTATCTCCTGCCCCAGTCCCCTGACAGAAGCAGGGAAGTCCTGATCTAGCTGTGATTGTTCCTATCTCCCAAAACACTCATCAAATACGTTTTTACATAGCCTGCAGGAATCAAACCTAACGTGCCTGACCAGGGTTAGATGAGGATCCCGCTGAAAATCCTTTACCCTCAGTAATCCTTTGGGAATAGAGGATCACAGAATGGTTTGGGTTGGAAGGGACCTTTGAGGGTCATCTAGTCCAAAGCCCCCGCAGTGAGCAGGGACATCATCAGCTAGATCAGGTTGCTCAGAGTGACACTTCTGGTCTTGTTCTCCTTCTCCCTGATGCAGTGGAAGAGAGGAAGGAGAAGCAGGCTGCTCCAGCTCCGGCGCCTGCGAAGACTGAAAGCGTCCCCAAAGCAGTGCCGGCTACCACTGCAGCAGGCACCACTGCGGTGATGGTGACGACGCCTGCCCAGACTCCTCCGGCTCCGAAGGTGGTGAGCGCGACGCCCATCCCTGCGGCGCCAGCGCTTGCGTTGCCCAACCTGGCCAACGTGGACCTGGCAAAGATCAGCTCCATTCTTAGCAGTTTAACTTCTGTAATGAAAAATACAGGTGAGTGCTGAAGCGATGTTAGGCCAAGTGTTTGGTTAACGGAGCTAACAATGGAGTTTTGTTTTGTAATCTTTTAAAGCTTTAATTGTGTCAAAATAAACATGAATGAGGTACTACTGAAAAGATCTGTCTCGGTTTCTCTGACATGACTGTTGGCTTCGTGAGCCTCTCCTTGGAGCTCTGCTGCAGTTGTATCTGTGGAAAACTTGAGCCAAAACAAGCTTCCGTTAACGAAGCAACGTATGTGAGTGGTGTGTGCTTCTGTCCTAGGCGTCAGTCCTGCCTCGAGACCTTCTCCAGGAACCCCAACAAGCCCCACAGCTCTTACTAGTGGCCTGAAGACTCCTGTCATGGGGACTCCGTCTGCTCCTTCAAATCCGTTAGCAAATATTCTCTCCAAAGTTGAAATAACTCCTGAAAGTATTTTGTCTGCTCTCTCCAAAACCCAGACTCAGACTGCACCAGCGTTGCAAGGTACCGGAGTGGGTCTGGAGGGAATGGCTAACGGTGTATTTGATGGCAGTAGCCGCGCTGAAGTGTGCTGCTGTGCTTATCCTAAAGTGAAAACGAAGGGAGAAAAACTTATTTGGAAAGTATTATGTCTTGGGCAGATGCAGATGACTTTTTCTCAGGTAACATGTGTTACAGCCCAGTGGGTTTTAGGACTTTTTTGTCCATCTTAGCGCTTTTGCTGTGGCTGAAGTGCACTTAGCCCCAACACGTTGTGGAAGGGCGCTGAACAGGACAGGAGAACAAGAGAGGTCTTTGTGGTTTCCCTGTGCTTCTGAGAGGGCTTTTTTAGAGCAGAAAACTTCCCAGAGGTGCTGCTCCTGCTTCTCTACCTTGCACGGGTAGCCCTGGTCAGTGGTGCAGTGTTTTTACACCTGGCTACAAAGCCGAGATGAGTTATTACCCAGTTTATTCAGATGTATGTTGTAATTTGTATTTATAGATCAATCTGAGCCTCTGACAAAAGTTTGTACTTCAGTGGGTGCTAATGTCAATGTTAAGGCAGCAAAATCCAGTTATTTTCCTGGCTGGAACTTGAAGTCATTTTAAGGAATGACATCTACAGCACAAATACCGAAACCTTTCCCTTGACAGCGGCTCAAGTTGACTTGCCTCTTATCTGAGTACCTGAACGCAGCTTTCTTTTTTTCCAGGTTTGTCATCCTTACTTCAGAGTGTTGCTGGAAATACCGTTCAGTCGAGCGAAACTGCGTCGCAGAGCACTTCAGCATCGCCAGCCAACACCACTGTTCCTTGCGTGAAGGGGAGGAATATTCCTTCCAGTACTCAGTCCTTTACATCCAAAAGTTTTGGTTATTCTCCAAACTCATCTACTGCTGAAGTTTCCTCAACTTCAGTCAATAAGGCTCCTGTTGGGCATACCCCAGGGCTGTCAAGCTCCAGTTTTAAGCCGCCAACCAATTCCTTGGGATTTTCCAGTTCCCACCCTACCAGTCCTTCTTCCCTTTTGCCAGCAGAAACCTCACTGGCTCAATCCTCTGAAATTTCAAAAGCCAAGCTGGAATCGGAACCCCCTTCTCCAAGCCTGGAGATGAAGATACACAATTTCTTGAAGGGAAATCCTGGCTTTAGCGGTCTGAACTTGAATATTCCAATTCTCAGCAGCTTAGGGTCCAGCGTCGCAATGGAAAGTCACACACCTGACTTCCAGCGTGGTCCTACCAGCACTTCCATGGACAATGTGGATGGAACCCCGGTGCGCGATGAGCGAAGTGGGACACCCACCCAGGACGAGATGATGGATAAGCCGACGTCGAGCAATGTCGACACTATCTCCCTGCTGTCAAAAATCATGAGCCCTGGTTCTTCTACTCCCAGCAGCACGAGGTCACCTCTTCAGAGCCGGGACGATGGATATCCCCAAGAACTTTCCAATTCTGTGCACACCTACCGGCCGTTCAGCCTTGGCAGAGAGTCTCCGGCTGGCCTGTACAAGGAGTCTGCAGACACAATGGAGATACCCTCCTCTTTAATGGACTCCTCCCAGGAGAAGTTTTACCCAGACACCTCATTTCAAGAAGACGAAGATTACCGTGACTTCGATTACTCTGGGCCACCGCCATCGGCCATGCTAAACCTGGAGAAGAAACCCGCCAAGTCTATCTTGAAATCTAGTAAACTCTCTGAAGCTGCAGACTACCAGCCGGTCCTGTCTAGTTACAATCAAAGATCACAGGACTTTGGCATGAAATCGTCCTTTCCTCAGTCGATGAGGTCTATTCACGATCAGAGCGAGAGCTGCAACCCGCTGGCGTCGTCTCCGGGGATGTACGGGTGCTATGGCCTCAGGGGAAGCAACTCCACCTCAGACGGCTCCCCTTCGCCCAGCAAGAACGAGGTGTTCTTCACATCGGACTCCAATCACAACAACTTGTCGAAATCGGCGGTGCACTCTGGCCTCTCGCAGAAGCAATACCCAGACTCACCCCATTCGATTCCCCACCGCTCGCTTTTCTCTTCTCAAAACGCCCTCTCCAGCCCCGCAGGTAGAGCGCCCGCGGCAAGCGTGGAGAAATCATTGGGTTCTTCCATTTCTGCCACGTCGACCATTGAGTTCAAGAACATGCTCAAAAACGCCTCCCGTAAGCCCTCTGAGGAGAAGCAATTTGGCCAAATTTCCAAAAGTAGCTCCGGTGAGGGGGTGAGCTTGTCTGGGCACGGCCCGGCCGGAGCTGCCAAGGGAGAGCCGCAGCCGCCGGAGGAGCACTACCGCATAGAGACCAGGGTCTCCGCGGCCTGCTTGGACTTGCCCGACAGCACCGAGGAGAAAGGGGCCCCCATCGAAACGCTGGGTT